TTATTTTTTTTTGGGGGTTTTAAGGGGGTGTTTCGTCATTTTGTACGGGACCGTTCATACGGCCATACGCCCGTCCATACGGCCGTACGTATGGCCATACGAGCGGAGCCCCGTACGACTACGGCGTTTAACACAGTCTCAGTCTTGCCCCCTGCCCTTCCTCGTGCGCTGCAGCACACGATAGCACATGCTCGCCCTCATTCAAATCGAAAACGAAATGTGACGTTTACATAAAGCGAGAAAAACAAGGAAGCCGAAATGCACTCTTTAGATCAGACACAAAGAAGGGAGCAAGAAGGGAGGGAGGAGGAAGGAAGGAGGGAAGAAGCAAGGATGTAGAAAGGGCCAAGGGCAGGAAGGGGCAACAAAGGAAGGAGCCAGGGTTGAGGGGAAAGGGTCGAAGAATGGAGGAGGATGGGCCGAGGCAGGAGGGATGGTGATTGTGCCTCTCTCTCTCTCTCAGCAGCTTGGAGGTCAGCAGGGGGAGAATAAGAAATAGTTCACTGATCTCGGAGGGGACGAGGGCGAGCTGGGAGTGTGGCTTGGAGGTGATGAAGACAAAGAGAAAGACTCACTTGAGTCAGCCATGTCGAAGAAGCCTCCAACCAACAACGCGAAAGCCTTCGGGGAAGTCGTCCAAGTTCACAAAAGTAAACAGCCTTAAACTCAGTAGCACCGATCCACGTCGAAGTTCTACGAAGCGTGAAGCACCAAGATTGCGACACGCAAAGCACCAAGTTCCCGAAGCGCGTACGGAGAGAGAGGGAGAGAGGAGACAGACGAGAGAGGGAGAGGGGCACTAATTCGCAATTGCACCAAATTCGCAAAGCAGGTAGCGCGAAGCACCAACTTCTTAAAACAGGTAGTACACAGCACCAAGATCCCGTAAGCACGAAACACCAAGCTCACAAGGCAAGTAGCAGAGAGGAGAGAGAGAGAAGACAAAGAAGGAGCGTGTGGCTTGCAACTCCTTCACGTAAAACATAGAACGCAACACTAATTCGTAGACCCAATTCACTAGCACCAATTGACGTTGCACCCATGCACATCGCACCAATTCACGATGCTCTGCACATAACCAAAAGCACGAAGCACGTAGCTCCACAGGCGTGAAAGAAAGCGCGAAGCACCAGAGCAAGCAGCATAAAGCGCGTAGCCCTAAAGCCCGAAGCCGTACCACAAAGACCGAGGCACATGGCACAGAGGAAAAGCCCGAAGCACGTAGCATCAAAGCCTGAGGCACGTAGCACACACACACACAAAGAGAGAGAGAGAGAGAGAGAGAGAGAGAGAGAGAGAGAGAGAGAGAGAGAGAGAGAGAGAGAGAGAGAGAGAGGTCGCACAGGGTACGCTGGGTACGTTGGGTACGTCCGGTAGTGCAGATAGGTCGGGTAGGGCAGGTATGTCCTGTGGTGGAGGTCCGTCCCGTAGGGTAGGTCGCGCAGGGTAAGCCGCGTACGGCAGGTTCGTCCCATAGTGCAAGTATGTCACGTAGGGTGTGCAAGCAGGTCGTTTACGGTAGGGGAAGTTGGCAGTAGGCCAGTCGGCACCTGTCTTTCTTTCTACCCTTCACGCCTCGATGCACCTAACCGCAAACACGCCACAGAGAAGTTGGAGCTACACCAGCCGGTGGCCGCAGTAATTTTGGCCGCTACATTTTGTGCCCGATTTCCGTCGAGGCAGTGTCAGAAGCAAGCATTTGCTATTCGCCTGTGGCACCCCACTTGCAGCAACGCCGCCAAGTACGCACGTCGCGTGATGTTTACCTTTTATATGTTTTGCCCCTTGTTACACATACTCGGCCAGATACGTCCTGCACCTTGATTTTTATTTTTTCGGGCTCCGCATTTTGCCCTGCCACAATTTGCCGTCTATCGCGCACAACCCGTTCAATAGCTAGAACAAACCTCCGTCGTCCAGATCGCCTCGGAATAAGGAGAAGCAAAAAAGGAGTACGTGTCAACATTCTAAGACACAAAATTCGTTCGAACTTGAGCTCATTGCAGATCCCCCCGCCGATTTAGAGATCGAAAGGCCAATACAGAAGGAAAAACCTGAAATTGGCGCGCAGTGTTACGGCCTAGAACCAAAAGCTTCAGAATATTGTTTTAGATAAAACACAGCGGCAATGCGGATCATCCACACAATCCCTAGATGCCCAACGGAAATGTGGACCAGACATGTCCATCGACCCATACAATGAAAGTGTGAACTTAAGGCCCGAGAGGGGAGTGGTCATGGCAGGTAGTGAGGTTTGCAGGGAACCTGGGATGGGTCATGGGATGGAGGGGTGGGAATTGAGGGGTTAGACGGCAAGGAGAACCCTCAACTGCTTTTTCTCCATATCTCATGTCCTGTGGAAGGGCAATGTGCGAAACAGATGCAGCCATGCAGACTGGACACATTCGATGCTGCTATCCTATAGACAATAATCAGCACCATCACAGTTACCCTGGCTATGAGTGAGCAAAAGGCAGATTCCCCAGGCCTGACCACTGAGCAATTGGGAGCTGCAGCAGCACTCATAGAGGACTGTCCAAGAAGCTCCAGGGCACATGTTGGAGTACACACCCCTCCCCTTGGCCTCCTCAGTAGAGATTACCTGCGGTGCTTTTCAAACATTGTTAGAAATAGTTATTGTGCATTCTTTGTGGGGAATAATAAGAGCATGCCCCTGGATGCCGAAAAGTTAGCCCAATGGTCCAAGTTTGTTCACAGCCTGACCACACCAGGGCCCCCATAATCAGCCTTGAACCGCCTTCGCCCGCCAGATCCATCCCCCATTATGATGCTGCCGTTGGCTTCTTGTTTTTTTCTTTTCTTTTCCCCCTCTTTGTTTCCTCTCTCGCTTTTCAAAAGGGCGACGACCTTGAGATATCATCGTTGAAACTGACAGGCTCAAGGTAATTCAGGATTATTTTGTTCTGGTCATCATCTGATTGTGGCTTGACTTGAACTGGGGTCTGTATTTCAACAGTTCGTGGGTGTACAAACTGAGCTAGGCTCGTTGGTGGTCGCTTCTCGTGGTTGTTGGGTTTGGGTAGTTTTGTTATTGGTTGTGGGTGCTAGGTGGGTGTTGCCGTTGTTTGGTTGTTGGATGGGAGTTGTCACTAGTGAGTTGTGGTTTAGTTGTTAGTGGTCAGTGGTGGCCGGTTGTTGGGTTGGTGGTGGGTTGTTATTAGGTCGGTGGTTGTGGTTGGTGGTTTGGTTATTGGGTTGGTATTGTGATTGTAGTAGGTGGTATGTTGGGGGTGTGGTTTGGCGGTAGGTGGTGGATGGTTGTCGAGTTGCAAGTTGTGGTTGGCGGTTGATGTTGGGGTTTGGTGGTGGTTGTGATTCGGTGGCTAACTGTGGATGGTTTGGTTATTATTGTGATACGCTGGTGGGTGGGTGGCGGGTGAATGTTGATGTTGTGGTTGGTGATGGATGAGTGGTGGGTTGGTGTTGTTGTTGTGGTTGGTGGTGCATGGGTGGTGTTTGGTTCCTGTCGCTCGTGGTGAGTCATCGGTGTTTGGTTGTTGTGCTTGGTGGTTGGTAAGCGATGTTTGGTTGTTGTGGTTCGTGGAGCGGTGTTCGGTTGATTGGAGTTTGATTGTTGTGGTGGTTGGTGGTCGTTGGTAGTTGTGTTTGGCTATTGTTACATGCCCAGTTGGGTGATGTACATAAATAACCGAGGATCCGCAATGTGCTGAAAAGGACTGAATGGACAATGCAGTGCAAGTGAAATCTCAACAAGCAGTGTACATCCTGATACATACAAAAATGGTGCTTTATAGCGCAGTGGAAGACTTGGATACAAGTCCTGACCTGACCGGGACTGACCTCTCTCACGTAGTACAAGACAGCACAGCAGAACGCTAGAATACCAATGACTAGCCCAATCAATGTCGCAGTACAGACCAAACATACATCATCCTCATCACAAGGTGTGAAGGGGCCTGGAGCTACACACAGGAAGAATGCGCCAGGTCCAGTCCATACACAGACGAAGAGGAGGGAAGCAGACAAAGAAGAAGGGGGAAGATGGGAATGTCGTCAACACCAAGTCTTCGTTGCAAGTCCCAACCGCTACGCGGCTGAGGAGATGCGACTTCGAACCGCATTTGCAGAGTACACTGGGAAGTTACACCTGGATAAATACCATTAGAGAATGCAACACCACCTACGAGAGGGATTCTTGGAGAATCCACGAGGAAAAAGGATTGAAATTTGAAACATTCTCAAACACGCCAATTCAACACTTGTCTTTGCTTTCACAGCAATCTCTGATATCAGAATAGGGAGTTATGTGGGCATCACACGTGCTCAGGCCAATGCTACGTCAGCGCTGGAATTGAACAAACACACATCAACCAAGGTGAATGTATAGCTAATCAAACACACCTGCATGTGGCTAAGACCAACTCGAACACCCTGTGGTGACTTTAACACACAGATGACAAACAAAGACTATTTGGCACATGTGCGCTGTATGACAAAAAAACACCAGTCACATGCATACAAGCAACAGATACCAAACTTGCTGTAACCTTAATAGAATAAACCTCAGGATGTTTACCAAGTTTGAGAGTGAGAACTTTGCTAGAGACAGGAATGTCACTGCCTGTTGGCTCGACTTAGCAAAGGCGCAGACATACCGTTAGCGGTCACAAAATAGAAGCAACAGATGAGGACATTTTCAAATGCAGAATCTGACCAGGAAGTCACAATACACTAGGTTCATTTCAGATCCTAGTCTGACCAAACAAGCATGAAGCTTTTACAAGGCTACGGTTGGCCCAGACATACAGCTAACAATGTCATTTCTACCCTTGGTCTGCAAGCAGCACTCTGCCCCTCCAGAGCAACCTGGCTGTTCCCTGCCCAGCTGCAAAAACAGAACACTAACCAGCACAAACACCAACCAGTGCAAACCATTCATCCATTCATAGTCCGCAGAGCATAAATAGATGGAACAAGTCATCTCTGAACTCATAGATGGAACCACATATGGAACTCACCATGTCTTTGTTGCCCCAATGTGATGATAGTTAACGGAGTATAAATAGTTATCTTCCGTGTGGAAGCAGAACGCTGGTCAAATGAATCCCGATGCACAGAAAGCAGAACAGAACGAGAACAAGAGATAATCAGTCAAAACAGCTCTTCAAAGATGGTCCACTCCGAATTCATTATCTGCCATCTACATTCGTGAAAGGACGTGACCAAACTCACCCTTCCATCTTCCTCTGCTTAAGGATCTTAATATATACCAGGCATCCGACAGACATCTATAACAGAATCACCAGACCATCCAATATGTAGTAAATCTTGTTCCCATTGCCCTAACCTCCGATTATTAACTGACTCAAGTCTCAATGGCGTAGCAGCATGTGCTCCATTTTCGCAGTATCTTGAGCAGCATAACACCGAAGCCACTCTGAACCAGAAGAGGACCAGGACTCCGTCTCCCAAGAACCAGCCGTGATTCATCCCCAGACAAAGGATAATGGAGGGAGGGATTGCTAACGAGAGAAAGAGCGGGACGGGACTACACGACGATGAGGAAAATGGAACAATGGTCCAGAGAGAGGGGCAGAGACCAAATCACGTGCTCCTGTAGACACACAGCAGCAGGTGTGCGAAAGCAAGGGGGATTGACGGGAGAGATAGAAGTGAAGGACAAGTGAGACAAGGGAGATACAGCCCATGATGACACACTGCACGAGTAGGAAAGAGGCAATCAAGCAGACTCAATATAAAAGTGGATACTCACCTGTGAATAGCATGCCAATGTATAACCAAGGGACTGTAACGCCTGCCACGTTTCCATCTAAATAGCGCAGAAGCGAACCTTCTAGACGTGGCAAGTTTAGCAGGTTCCAGGGACTTGAAGAGAACTTACAACCTGCAGCACTTCCACAGAGAGCAGTGCAACCCCACAAAATGAGAGCGAGGGAAACAAACATCAGCCAAATATTCAAGTCCAAACTGAAGTGGCAATTCTCAGAAAAAACAGTGTCAAGAAGTCAACACTGCACAGAGAAACAACCGCAAATGACATTCACCTAAGACCCATGTAAGTACCAAGATATTGTTTCCAAGGCCATAATGCACTACTGTCTTCACCCGAATTCAACATAAGGTCATTATTGCTGTATCTAGAATAAAAGATGCTCCAAAATACAGCTATAATGACCGTACGGCGTACGCTGTATTAGGATGAAGACAGTAGACATTCCCAGATGTTCATTTAAGGAGCAAGTGGACACCCCGCGGAGCTGCCGCTGCACAGGAGGCAAGGGAGGGCGAAAGAGGGCAGGCAGCAGGAAACCCACTCGAAAGTGCAAAAAAGAGGCGAAGACGCATCAGAGTAGTTGTTAGTTGGAAGTCCAACAAAGATCGATTATTGCTTGTTCCCTTTATTCTCGCTGTGTGATAAAAAAGAGAGGAAAAAAAAAGATACTTGAACCTCGGGCACTCTCTCTCTCTCTCTCTCTCTCTCTCTCTCTCTCTCTCTCTCTCTCTCTCTCTCTCTCTCTCTCTCTCTCTCTGTGTGTGTGTNTCTCTCTCTCTCTCTCTCTCTCTCTCTCTCTCTCTCTCTCTCTCTCTCTGTGTGTGTGTATGTGTGTGTGTGTGTGTGTGTGTTTGTGTGTGTGTGTGTGTGTGTGTGTGTGTGTGTATGTGTGTGTGTGTGTGTGCGTGTGTTCCCCCATTCATCGTTCCTGTCCTCATTGTTTCCATTCTTCATCGTCGCTCTCCTCCCTCCTCCTCTGTCCTATTCCTCCTTCCTCTTGCTCCTCCCATCCTCCATCTTCCATCCTCTATCCTCCCTCCTCCTCCAGCCACGAAGCAAAGTGGCACATCACATGTCCGTGATGCCTGTGGGTGATGACGCATGATCGTCAGAGTGACTCCCTGGCTCAGTGGGTGGTGGGAACCAATAGTCTGCGGAGTTCACCCGTGATGTGCCGCTTTGCTCCGTGTTGGATGAGTGGACTGCCTTGCTGCCCGTTCCGCTTGCTTTGCAGGTTGTTCCTGGCGAGCTTTTGTCTTTGCTGTGTGGTGTGGCCATGTTGCTGGTGTCGCCTTGCGCTTCGCTGCTCTGCTGCCTTGCCACCCTTCCACTAGCCGTGCCTGCCGTGTCCTTCGCTTGCGCACTTTGTAGTTCACTGGCCTTGTTGGTGTTGCCTTGTGCTTCACCACATGGTTGCTTTGCTGCTCATCCTCTTGCCCTGCTGTCCCTTGCAGTGTGACTGCCTTGGTGGTGTTGCCTTGTGCTCCACTGCGTGGTTGCCGCACTGCGTGTCCTGCGTTCCGTGCATTCCATGCAGTCACTTTTGGCGTTGCGCAGCCGTGTTGCCTGTACTGCGTTGCCTGGTGCTCCGCAGGGTTGCTGCCTGCTGCTATGTTCCACTTGGGGACAGTCTGCCTTCAAAATGGGTCAAAGGGTTCATGACCCAAACCATCAATACGGGCATTCCGCAGATTGTCGAGGGTTCAGCCTCCTGATGAGTCGGTGCAACTCCGACGAAACAATCTTATCATCATCAGTTTTATTTTTTTCAGTCAGTCCTTTTTCTGGGGACTTGTACTTTTTCTGCTTCGCCTGCTTTGTGTGTTTGAGTGACGTCTGCCCTCCCGCCTCCCCCGCGCCCTCTGGCCATTGTCTTTTGTTGCGGGTTGTTGTCTTTCATTCTTAAGGTGTGCTGATATGTTATTTTGGAGCTTTACTACGATGCTTACTATGATGTGGTGCCCGTATCATACCGCAAACGTGTCATATTATGCAGGACACACACTTACTTCCACACACACACACACACACACACACACACACACACACACACACAAGAAATAACCGCGCAAACAGAACGCACAGTCATTGTAACTGTACTTCGAGCAACTTCCAGTCCTCCCTCCATGTTCCAGCCTCTGCCATGGCCTCTCTCTCTCTCCTCTCTCTCTCACACACACTCACACACAAACGTAATCAATGATGTATGTCTTTCTTTCAGTTTGTTTGTTTTCCTTTCTTGCTTTTTTTACTGTATGTCATCTTGCTGCTTTTTTTCTAAGTACTTCCTGGAGTGAGCACCCTCAAGATCCGCTAAACAGTAGATGGTCCGTTGTTTGGAGCACCTACAGCACTCTTAGGGGGGAACTCAGTTGGGGATGTCTGTGCTCCTGTGCGTGATGACGGATGTTCGTCTGGGTGACTCCCTGGGTCAGCAGGTGGTGGGAACCAACAGTCTGCAGGGTTCAATCATGATGTGAGTAGGTGATGTGCCGCTTTGCTGCATGTTGGATGTGTAGACCGCCTTGTCTGCGCTTGGCCGATGCCTTGCTGCCTGTCCTGCTTGTGTTACGCGTAGTTCTTTGCAAGGCTGTTGTGTTCACTGTGTGGTGTGGTTGTGGTGTTAGTGCTGCCCTGTGCTTCGCTGCACTGCTGCCTTGCTGCCCATCCGCGTGCTGTGCCGTATGTGTTATTTGCTTGTGCCGTGTAGTGTGGCTGCTGTGTTGCTGCTGCCTTGTGCCTCACCGCGATGTTGCCCTGCTGCTCGTCTGCTTGCCTAGCCGTGTGTCGTGCCTTCGGTGTTCCTTGCTTGTGTGCCGTGTAGTATGGCTGCTGTGTTGGTGCTGTCTTGTGCTTCGCAGCACTGTTGCTCTGCTGCTCGTCCGCTTGCCGTGTCGTTCCTGGCAGTCGTTTTTGGCGTTGTGCAGTCGGGTTGCTCCAAAAGTGTTGCCTGGTGCTTTGCTGAGTTGTTGCCCTGCTGCTGTGTTCCACTTGTGGACAGTCTGCCTTCAACATTGGTCAAAGGATTCATGACCCAAACCATCAATACGGAGATTCCGCAGATTGTCGAGGGTTCAGCCTCCTGATGAGTTGGTGCAACTCCGACGAAACAATCTTTCATCATCAGTTTTTTGGGGGGGACTTGGTACTTGTGCTTGCCAGTCGTTGTCTTTTCCTTGCTTTTGTGCTTGTGTTGTGTGCCCTCCCGACTTCCCCGTCCCCTCCAACCTATGTGTTGCCTTGCAGCCGCTGCTGCTTATTGCCTGTATGTCCCTTTTGCAATCAGACTCGCATACTTCGTCAATTCACATGCATACAAACAGATGGTGAATCACACTGGCGCATAGCGCCCAACCCAAAGCTCAAAGATATGGAAACCAAGACACAGTTCAGATGTAAGCTCGCTTCAACAGGCTATGGTGCATCAGCACCCACACATCGCAACTCTTGTCTCTGTGTCCAACACTACTGTTTGCTTCACACTTCAACTCCGGATCACCCTGGATACCCCATGCACACACACTGTACACACACTACACTAACAACTATGGCAGCTATGGCCGCCACTAACACTACCCTACAAGCAGCTATGGCTGCGCTAACTCCTTCAGCCCACTTCGACTTCAGGCTCCTCTGCAGACCACCTCGCACAAGTCACCGTGGCAGCGCTTCCGCATGGCTTCCGCAGGAATGAATGAATGGCTGTGCGCTGCCTCTTGATTTATACTTCTGTAACTCGTTGGTCTGCCTCTTTCCACCGGGCCCATGGTGCACACAGTCCCCCTTGGTACTTGCTGACTGTGCAAAGTGAGACTGGGACTGGGTACCGCTGACTAAGCGAAGTCGAACGCACCACTTGCCCACTTGCCTCTGGCCTTCTGTGGAAAACGTGAGAGGAAAACTTGAAAGGCCACTTCCGGACCTTCCGGAAGACCGTGAACTTGGCTTTTCAGTACTGTAGCAGCTACGACCTTGACCCTTCAGGACTGTAGCAGCTACGACTTTAACCCTTTGGGACATCTACAGCTACGACTTCTGGAACTCTCTAAGACCTCTACTCGACAGGTCTACAGATCGAATCCCTATGTCCACACAGTCCTACGACAGACAAACAACAACTCATAAAACACAGGTCACGGGTTCAAGCACTCAAGGGTCAACTCGATACTATACATGGGGGAGGTAAGGTCTGGGGATCAAACCCCCGGGATCTGCATATGCCTCTGCAAAGGTGAAAACCGTTTCACTTTTTTGCTGCTCATTTTTTTCCCTGCCTTTAAGACACTGCTCCACTCAGATGTGTATTCTCCTCCTGAGGGGTTGCGGTGGTATGGTGCACGGTCTTTACCGTGCAGAGGCGTCCACAATATGTGTTCACGCACATAATGACACACACACACACACACATGGGTTTTATGACTGTGTCGGATTAGTTTCTCAGACTTACTGCCGTTCTTGTCAGGGGTTTGGACAGGCAGTCTGCTAGGATTGCAAGGTTGGTGTGAGCAAAGTCAACCACTTTTCTCAGGGGTATCGATAACTCTGGGCGATGTGGTGAGACCTCATCCATCAGTCAAATGCATCCTGAGACTGCCGTAGTTCAACCTCCTGATGAGTCTGTGAAATTCCAACGAAACAGTGCACAGTCATGTTTTTTTTTAGTGAATATGACAACACACACACACACACACACACACACACACACAAATGAAATAACTGCGCAAACAGAATGCACAGTCATTATAACTGCATTTCAAGCAACTTCCAGTCCAGATACATTGAAAATGGCCATATGTTTCATGGTCAAGCCTCCTCCCCCTTTCTTCTCTACATCCTCTGTCCATCCACCCTTCATCCTCTCCCTCCATCCTCCCTCCCCCTCCTCTATCCATCATCGTCCTTGACTTTGTCCTCTTTGGTCGATCCCGTCATCAATATTGCTATCTCCATCCTCACCGATGTCGTCATCTCCCTTCTGCTCTTTCTCCCTCTCTCCTGCCTCCCCCATTATTATTGTCCTCCCTCGTCCTCTCATCATCGAGGTCCTCAGTGTGTGTGCGTGTGTATGTGTGTGTGGGTGTGTGGGTGTGTGCCTGTGTCTGAATGCGCCC